GATCTTGTTATTGCACGTGAGTTTTTCCCCTTTCACCAAGTATCTCATATAACCAATCCGCTTTTCTATTTTTTTTTTTTTTTTTATACCTCCATAGTGTTACCAGAAACAACCTTCTGCTTTGAACTTCTTAAAGATGGACTCACAGTTTCTGTAGGTTCTTCTTGTTGACTTAAATCATTTAATAATACTGCATGTCCTTGGCTGCGGGTAACTCAATTCTCAGTTTTTTCGGTGTCGACTTCATTTTTACTTTCTGGAGTTTGTTTTTCACATATGTCGTCAGTGTTACCCATTCAACTTTTTTAAATAAACCAGTTTTCTCTAATCTGTCCAATTTTTTATCTATCTGTTCAATTGAAGCAAACAGCACATTCCTTTTCTTTTTGAATACCACCTGAGCATTTTGTTTTGGCTGTAATTTTGCCTCCATCTTAGTACATGTTCCCAAAACCTGGAGAAAAACACTAGGAAAAGTTCCCTTAAGTTTTTTTACTAATTTTTGGGCTTCGTAGTTTAAAAATTCAACCTTGTAACAGAAAGAATTTATCGGTAAATCCAATAATTGAAATTCTGTTATCCAATTCATACCAAGTAAGTTCATGGTATTTTTTATGACAAATAGTTTAGCTTTTCGCATTTTTTATTTAACGTGACGTTCGTAACAAATCCTCCAATAAATTGTATTTTTTCTCCCGTCACTGACCTCGCGATATTCTTTGTCTTCATTAAAGTTGGTTTCCCTAACTTCTTCCATGTATGCAAATTTATGATAGATAGGTCAGAACCAGTGTCGAGTTGCATATTTATTTTTTATTATTTATTTCGACGGTAACAAATTTTCTGGTTATTCCGACGTTCACTTCGTTGGACTTTAATTTTCTTATTTTATTGTCTTTATTTTTTGACCTGCAGTGCGAGCTTTTACAACCCACCCTTTCACAGTTGAAACATTTTTTATTTCTAAAATTGCAATATCTGTACCAGTGTAGTTCACCACAAGCAAAACATGGCTTCGGGAGTTTTTGTTTATTTTTTTTCTGGTATTTCACTTTTTCTTTGATAATCCGCAATTTTAGAATTCTTTTTGGTAGACTGACTTTCTTTTTTGTAGCATATTTTCCTTACATGAGAAACGCCAGACTGTTCTATCTTTTTTGAATCTTTCTTTATGCTAACATATCTTGTGCAGTCTTCTGCCAAACTCTGTATCGTAAGACTTTGTTGGTTTTCCAATTTTGATAATACCAATTTTCTCAACTCTGCATCTATCTGATACTAGTCCTTGAACAGATACTAAGCACTTAAAGTTGTCAGCGCTTAACTCTGCCAGCTTGAATTCTTCACAATGCTTATTCACATTGGCTGCGTACGTTATAAAGTCTTGTTCATCCTCTTTCATCAGATTCAAACATTTCCACCTCTTGTGAAACAAAGATGTCTTTTTAGTAAATAATTCACTTAATATATTTACCGCCTCAGTAAATGTCAACTCGCTAGTTTTTTTCGGTAAAATGTAGTTTACCAATTTGTTATGCTCAGCAGTTCCTAACTTGCTTAAAAGAAGTCTAACCTTCTTTCCTTCAGACCACATGTGGCAGTCCTCGTTATACATGTCCGTATATTTTTTATAATACTCTTCAAAAGTTATCTCTTCATCTGGACTGTACGTGAATATCTCAATCGAATTCCATATTGTATTCTCTGGGAAAGAATCATTTTGTAAATTTTTCTCTTTCCTCTTCTCAGTTATTTCCAGAATTTTGTTTTGAAACTCCTTATGCATTTGTTCCATTTCTCGTTGAAAATGCGTCTATTAAAAGTTTCCTCCTGCAGTTGCATCTGGAACGTTTTCTGTTGCTCTAATATTGTCATTTGTTGTTCCGTCTGGAACTTAAAAAATTCCTGGAATATATTTTTTGCATTCCTCCATCTTTGCAAAAAAGTTTACACAATGCTTAAATATTGTATTTTCTACAAGGTCCAAAGATGGATTTGCAATTCATGACCTATTTGAGCAAACTGTCTTATCGAGAAAAAAAAATTCTTTTCTCAGTTGAGAATACAACTGATTTTTTTTATCACTAAGTTGACATCTTGTCTTTCAAAAAAAAAAAATGCCAATTTTTTTTTTTTTTTTTTAAATGTTAATCCGAGATGTTGTTGCCGAAAATTTGATGAGCAAGTTTTTTTTCTTTTTCCTCCGTATAAAAAACGAATTTCATCACTAAATAACGTGGCGAGCGAAATTTTTTTTTTTTTTCACTGTATGAAACCCAATCCCATGTACGCCACGTTTGTTATGAAAGGTGAATTTTTTTGCTTTTCCTCTTCTGTATGAGTTACGAATCCATGCTGACAAGTGTTGTAGAGTGAATGCAAAGTCTTTTTTTTTTTCTGTATGAATCCAAAATAAGTTCGTTGCCAAGTGTTGTATATGGCGAAACAAATTTTTCTTTCTTCAAATTCTTTTTTCCATATGAGAAACGAATCCCTCGTCGACAAATGTGTTGTAGAGTAGTTTTCACAGTGGAGGCTTGTATTTCACTAAGTTGGTCCTAAATTAGGTTCAACGTACAAAACGTTAGGAACTTGAAATAATAGTTAATGATGCAGCAATCTAGTTGTGGGGCTCATACTTTAATGCCCGACATCGACTGACTCACACAACTCACTGAGCTCCTCTGGCGACTACTACTACTTATCTGTGGGAGAGTCTATTTACAATAGAATAGGTATGTTCCGGTATAACACAGACCCACACTGACTATTGGCTAATACCTGCCTAGTATCGTTCATATACAAATAGTCAGCACCAGTGAATAAGTCCTCAAAGTTTAATTTTAAAACCAGAAAATTTGATTTTTGAAAGAATTTCTAAATCAATATTTTTCACTGCACTGTAAAAATTTCATATAATCCTTGGCACCCATCATCTCGCTCACACAAGAAATACAAGATTTTTAACCAACATTTCAAACATTCTAAAAAGGGTCAAAAAAATATAATTTTTAATAATAAAAAAATCGTTTCTTTGGTCTTTCCTCTCAAACAAAGATTTTGACAATAAAACCTAAAAACTTTTAAAGTCTGAGGCATTTCTTTTTCATTATGGTATGCTCATTTTTTTAGCGAATTTGTGGAGGTACATCGTATCAAACCTAATCTATTAATTAGCTTGAAAATTAAAACTAAAAAAAATAAAAATAAAATCTTCATAAAAGATTTTTCATTTTGAAAAATTAAACTTTATCGCTTTACTTTGGAAGTACCTAATTTATTTGATTGCTATACCTTCTTGGGAAAGACATTATTTGGAATTCAGAGTTTTTCTTTTCTTACGATTGGTTGCCCATTAAGGCGAAAAAGCACAGTTTGCCATGCAACCAATGGCTGGGAGCGGGCGGAAGAAAGTGAACTGAAAGGAAGAAGGAATTTCAACTCGGCACGCCGATTACACTTCTGTTACGCTATCAACACATTTCCTTGACTGAATGACCTACTTTTTAAAAATGATTCTTTTTCTATCCAGTAATTTTTTTGTTCTGTTTTGCGTTTAAAAAAACCTATATCGTTTATTTTGATCCATCAGATCACTTCAATGTAAATTTTTATTTAAAAAGTTTAATTCATGTTGTGCTTCTTTTTTAATCTTGTTTAGTTGAGTAACACCCAACAACAACAAAGAAAAGAAAAACAGACTAGAGAGCCAGTTGAAGTTTTGAAATGAAAAAGCGAGAAAAAAATCATTTGAACAGCTTTCTCAAAATTTTGGATTTTTATTTATAATGGGAAAATTCTTTTGTGAATGCCTAAAATAAAATAATAATGTGTGATTGAAGAAGCTTAATGTAAAGGATTTTTCTTTGCGGTTGAGGAATTTTGTAGTGTTTGGTCGAGAATCGAATCACGATTAACATTGAAAAATAAATGAAATGTCAGTTGCATTGAAAAAAATTGCCTGGTTCGATTTAGCTTTGCAGTGGCTTTTGCTTTGCTTGATTTGTTCAACAATAAATGGTTTCAAATATCAGACTTTTAAATACCGCTTCTTGAAAAGACACATATTGTACTTTTTAGGTTTTCGTCAAACGGGTTCGTTATTTGAATTGGAAGTCTTTCTTCAGAGAATCAATTAAAAGTACGGTACACACAGATTTTAGGTTTAAAAAAAGTCATGCCAAAAATCAAGATTGTAAAAAGAACAGTAACAACTTAGAAAAGTAAAAAAATTGAGTAAAAAAAATATTTTTCATTATGCTTAGCAGCTCAATTTTGTTTCAAATAAATGAATGTTAAAATTCCGCATATTCTGGTTTTTAGCTTTTTTAGTATCCGAAAAAAATCTTTTAAATTTCAATATCCAACCACTATTTGTGTTAAATTGACCAGACGTTGGTTAAGTTTTTTTTTTTTAGATTGTGATTCAAAATTAATTAAACTATGCAACTAACTGTATATTCCCGTCCGGAGAAGAAAGTTTTCTACACAGGCAAGATTGCAAGTCTGATGCTTTATGTGTGTTTGTTTGTGTGTGTGGACATTTCATTTTGATCGTTGTGGAAAAAAGTAAAATTTATTTTTATTTTTCTCTTGTGTTTCTTTTTTTTAAAACTTTCAATATTTTAAACACTTAAGTTCTTGTTTAGTCCGTCGTTATTGTTTTTGTATATAAATTCTCATTATGATGCTTAGCTTAACGCTTGTTTTCTGCAGTGTTTGTGAATTTTCCTGAAATTGATTTTCATCCAAAATGTAACTATTATTTGAAATAATTCTTAAAATGATGAATGTCAAAGCAAAGCTTTAAAAGTGTGAATTATTTTTTTGTGTGAGCATCTTCAAAAAAAAAAAAAAAAAATTTCCATAAAAATTATGCTTTTCACAAAATAAATTATCAAAATAATAAATAAATTTTCACCAAAAATGGTTTTCCTTTTAAAATTTTTTTTTTTAAAAGATTTAATTTTTTAATAATAAATTATTTTAAATTTCCTCACCTTACTCATTCCAGTTCCCATGATGTCTCTTCCTTCCGTCTTCAACCGTTAAAAATTTTTTAATTTAAGGTTTAAAACAACATAATTCAGTAAAACTATGTGTTAACAAAAATAGCTATTATTAATAATTTCTTAGCCACATTAAATAATCGGTGAGACGAGTAGAAAATTTGACGGTTTTTAAGACTAGAAATGATTTGTTATTTCTAGTACAAAAAAATGCTACTGCTAGTAACACTACTGACGAACTCCTCACTAATCAAATTTCCTTCATCAACAGGGGATTTTTGTTCAAAGGATTGATGACATTTGGCTTAAAAGATCACCGAAAATTAAAAATAATCTAAGTACTTTGTTGGAGTACTTTTTTGTAGCCTTGAACTACAAAATACAATCGTCGTTTGAGTTTGTCATTTCATAGCTTCAAAACCTGGTCGCGATCAAAAAATTCTGAAGGAAGCGAATTAAAAAAAACAACAACAAAAGACTAGAAAGATATTATTATCGAGAAAGCTAGAAGTAAATAATAAGTAGACACAGAATTTGAATAAAACATACGATAGCAAGCACATAGAAAGTAATTTTGGTCGTAGACGAATTTTAATCAAAAAACTAAATACATTTTTTTTTTTACTTAATACCACCACGTTCAGCGGTGATATCGAGAAAATAATCCTTTTTGTAAATAAAATTAAATGAATCAATTTACATTCTGATTCATTTTTATTTAAAATAAATTTTATTTGTCATTTGACGAGGAAATTAATGACAAATTGTCTTTTTAGTGTAATGATTATACTTGTACCCAGGAGTTTCAACAAAATCCTCTTTCAGTTTTTTTTCGGAAGTTGTTTTCACTTCAAAATTAAAACTTATCTTTTTCTACACACTTGCAATGCGAATTAAATTCTTAGATTGTTGCTTATTTTAAATTGGATTTATATTTTATTTATATGAGGTCACGTTGGAGAAAAAATCAACACGAATTTAAAATTAAAATATAAACTAACATTGACGGCATAAAAATAAACATCAAAACATTTTCTGCGCTAAGAAAGGGCGCCTTGTTTTGTTATTGACTACTTCATGTAAGCTTGTTTCACAAAAAAATCATTACTGCTTGCTACTCGAACTTCATTGTTTTTTTACAAAAAAAAAAAAAAACTAAGCTGTACTAGGGCATTTCATTGTAGTGAGTTCGATTCTCACTGGGTACCTCATCCATTATGACTGATAAAAAAATTAAGGTAAATTTTGGTTTTGTTTCCCGAGCGTTAATATCCCTTAAAATTTTTCCAAAATCGTCATAATTCCGTGCAAATGTACATGCTGAACTCGAATTAACAATTAAATTATGAAAAAACCTTACCGTTTTGGAGTTATCGACAAGAAAAAATCGGACTTCTTGTTAGTCATTCGTCCCCCATTACTGCCATCATGAATCCTCATTCGATGCGTAGTACCTACGCAGGCGTAATCAGAAAAATTGGCCTATTTACTTCTTTTACAGACTTTCCTTGCAGAAAATCACTACGCACTACCTAAAAGAAATATAATTTTTTTTTTTTTGGTAAGTGTAGTTTTATTTATAACAAACAAATTAAATAACACAACAGAATCTTTTTTTCCGTTTTGAATAGCAATGACAAATTAAAAGAACAAATTAAACAATAAAAATAAAGCATTTTTATATTGTAAAATTGAAAATAAAACAAAAATTAATGCACAAACTTGGTAAAGTAGAAGGGTTGATGATATTTATTTTTAATTTCTAAACAAAATGTTATTTCAAATGTAAATTCAGTATTTACTGATATAAGAAATATTCTGTTTTAAAGTTATCCGGAGAATTTTTATGGTGAAATTTTGCTGTTTCTTGAAAAAAAATGAATATCTATTCAATATTTATTAAATTATATATTAATTTACTATTAAATTGTGTTAACTTGAAAAACTAAAACAGGAGAATTTCATGCATAAAATTCTGCCTTTTTATTTTCTTAAAAAAATATTTTAAATGAAAATTCAGTATTAACTGAAGAAGTTCTGTTTTTATGATAAACTTCTGCCATTTTTCTTTAAAAAATATTTCTAAGACTGAAATGACTAAATTGTGTTAAGTTGAAAAACTTATCTGAAGAATTTTAAAGGTAAAATTGTGCTGTTTTTTCTTAGAAAATATTTTAATGTTTTCAGTATTTAAGACTGAAGTTATTAAAATGTATTACTGTGTGTTAACTTAAAAAATGAACTAAACGGGAATTTTATGCATAAAATTCTGTCTTATTTTCAAATTACTGAAACAAAAATTCTTTTATTTTCATAAATTTAACCAGAGTATTTCATGAGTAAAATTCTACCTACATTTTCCTTTGAAATTTATTGATAAATTCAGTTATAGAAATTGACATTATTTATAAATTAAATTAAAAGAAAAATGTTCTCAGTACAAGTAAAACTGACAATGCCTTGAATTTAATGAAGGCCAAAGCAAATGTACAAAAATACTTTTTCTCTCTACAGGAAGAAGCTCTGCTTTAAGAGACTAATCTTTCATGGATGAAATAATTGATATTTATATCAATTTAGATTTTGACACAAAAGATATTGAAAATTAAAACTATTTGTGAAGTAAACTATGACTGATAGATTAGGAGACTTCTATGACCAAGCATATCATTTCAAGCAAAATTGTAATTGCTGGAACAATGGGCCTGAATGACAGGAGTATCAGCCATTTGTCAGTCATGACTTTGATCATGAAATTGCTGATACTCTTAGTGAAACTGGAAAAGTATCTAGTGACTTTGAAGATGAAAATTCTGCAATTTCTGACACAAGTGTCTGATGACTTTGAAATTGAAAATTGCAAAATTTCAGACTCTCTGTGATAGTACATTG